ACAGATCATGTTTTTCTATTTTCTCATCCTGTTTTTTTCCAGTATGCCTGTTATAGTTCTCTTTTCCCTGCTTCCAAACAGACTGGATTATAGAGAGGAAGAAAAATTCTGAATTGCCTTTCTACAGGAGTATAAATAAATAATCCTAACTACTTTTATTTCTTTGACTTCTTGCTAGCAGTAGATAGAACTCTTAACAGTTGTTATACTCAATTTCCCCCCACTGGTAAAATAGGAAGAGAAAAACCTTTATCAAATTAAGTAGGTAATTTCCCTTTGAAAATGCTTTCATGTGACATCAAGAAATGTCTGTGGGCGATATGAAGTATTTTTATTATAATTTATGTATAAGTTAATCATTTCTAATTTATGAAGTTATAAATTTGTGTCCAATATCCTGAGCCATATTCTCGGTGGATGAAATGTTCCCCAAAGAAAGAAAGAAGTAGTCAAAGCATCGTCACAATTCTCTACCACCTCCATTTTTATTTTCTAAACTAGTGAGGATCACATTCTGCCCCTTGATTTCAAATTGCAAGTACCACAAGAGTCTTCAAACTTTGACATCATGACTCCCTAAAAACAGATACAAATAAGTTCTAAGATCTCTTAAAACACTGTAGGCATTCTAATCTCTTTGGTAAGTGCAAACTATCCATACACATGTGCACATGCAAAAGAAGGGAAGAGGAAATCTGAAAAGTTTCATCTCCAGCCTGGAACTCATTGACAGCTTCTGGGACCACATCAGAGATGGTTCCTTTGTGGTACAGAATGTAGGGTTGCTTAGTGTGGTACAAAGTGTGGATGGCCGTGTGTGGTCAATTCCTACAGCAGCATCACCAATACTGCCATAGCCTCTATATGACAACAGCACATACTGTGAAAATGTGCCAGGTGAGAGTTGGATCATGGGAACAGGCCCCATTCACTAAATCTACACAGCCTAAGCACAACTGGGGAGAGCATTGCTTAGTGCAAAGCTCCTGCTTTCACTTAGAGAGCCTACACTAATATATGCAAAAGAACTGTACAGGTCCTACTCACAAAGTCCATGTTATTGGTCTGCACACACACACACTCACTTGCCACATGTTCTTAAGTCAGTTTATTCATCTGAACAGGAGTTGTGGGAGAGGTGTTTCTTCTCATATTGTCTTAGTAGATTGCAAGCTGCTTCCTTCCTCTGAAACTGCTGCTGAGTTTTGCTTTTATTCCCATCCCCCAACAGCAGAGAAGAAGGAAAGACTACATCCCTACAAACTAACCCCAAAATGAACAGGTTTGAGGAAAAGTGACATTCTGAGGCTCTGGAATTAGGATTCCAAACCTGTGAGTTTGGCAACATGGCTGGAAGATAGGGCGGACTCTTCTTTCTGGATAAATGACCATTTCACACTGCATGTGTCAAGGCAGATTCTGCATGCATCAAAGGCCATTTTGGCACATCTTTGTGGAGAAAGCCAGACAATGTGTCCTGAATGGGGGGGAAAGACCACACTATGCAAGCAGCTCTCTGACAAGAATTTAAAATTTCTGATGATGCACAGTGTGGCTTTATGAATTTTCTGAAAGCTGCATACAAGAACAGTTATGGGATAGGGAGGTATAGAAATGGGCTGGTGTCTTCCCTAGCCGTCATTCAACTTTCCATTTCATGAGGCCTGAAACATGGTTACAAAGTTTCATAGAAGCTCTTAGCATCCTCTTCTAAGGAATACAAAACTGAACTCACTGGTGTAAATGGTCAGCAAGGGCCCCAGCATATAAATATTAATTTTAAGTTCCCTCTTATGTTCCAGTCTTGCTATACAAATCAAATATATATTTATTAACTCTGAATAGCATCATGCATTGTTTAGCCTCTCTTGTACAGCCATTTAAACACAAAATATGCAAGATAAAGCATTCTAATTTTTAGAATTATGTGGCAACATTGTTTCCTCTCTCCATTTATTCAAAGCTTTTCGATTTCTTTACACAATTTGCTTTTTTTTTTTACCAGAGTCTTAATATTAATAGATACACAGAGGCACTATTAATGTACTCTCCTGTTCTGTATGGAATTTGTTTATGTATTTTATCATTGTAATGCTTTCATCTGTTTTTATAATTGCATTTTCTGTTGCTGCAACCCACCCCTAGTCCTTATGGTGAAGGGTAAGAACTCTTATAAATGAATTAAATAAATGCTAAATAAATAATTTGGATAGCAGCAACTTGGATAGCAGCCATTATGCTTAATTGTCCAAGCTGATAAGACATCAAATAACCTCAGATTATTTTGGGTTGCATCTCCTTAGGTTCCCCTGGAAATATTTATTAAACCAAGCCCAACAGTTGGGATGTCAGGGCCTGGACTGAAGGGGAAGGCTGGGAATCACCCCCTCCTCCTCCTTTGCTTCCCTTGGAGGTGGGGTGAAGTGGGGGGATCAGTCCCCTCTTATCCAGTAGTTTCAAGAGAAGAGGGAGACAGGTTTGAATTGCAGCAGAACTCAAAATTGCGTTTCGAGACCCCCAAGCCCTTCCCCCGTAAATAACTTCACACTGACACATAAATTTTAGTTTTTATTTTATTGGGCAAAATTTTAGGCCACAACTTTATTAATTACAGAAAAGTGAGAGGTATTGGCTTAGACACTGGCAACAAACTATAACTGCCTCCTGCCTCTCTGGCTAGTAGTCTGAAAGGGTAAACACCAAACGAGGGAGGAACATTGATGAAGATCAACCGAAGCTCATCCCGGGGTTCCTGTGGTCCTGGCATGGCCCTAGCCCCTCAAGTGGACTTCGGACGAGATCCAGGACCCCCATTTACCGGAATACCCTTATTCATGGAGGGGCAAGTGATGGCCACGCCTCCCCTCCCACATACTCCCCTCCCACATTCAATAAACCAATGCCTAACAGCCAAAGCTTACAAAGTTGTGAGAATTGCTAAGGGGATAGGCGAAAACCAAATGGCTGCAGCCAATCTGCCAAATGGAAAAAGTTCCTACCCAGCCCCTGCTCCAAAGCAGGTGACCCAAACCGAAGCAAGGCCAAAGCAGCATGACCTAAAATAAGGGAGGGAGGGCGGGTGTTCGGCAGCACGAAGCAAGTGTCCCCAATCACACCATGCTGCCACTTTTATAGGCCCTGGGAATCACGCCGCTCACCCTGAATGGCGAAAACAGCCTAGCGCGATCCCAGGGCCTAACGGTTAAGGCTTGCGCCAAACCTAGCTACAACACACCCTGCAGAGATGTCCCGGGGGCCCGAACGCAACCAGGAGCCTTGTTAAGGAGGATCCCATCTTACAAGTTATGAGGTGTCAGGAGAAGGAGGGTGTGTGGGAGAATTGCCAGCAGAGATGTACTTGGAAAGCATAGAAGCACCACCATCCACACGTACGGGCCGCTCCCTTTGAATTCAAGAGCAAAGGGCTCAAAGACGTTTGACTCCTGAGACCCCCCATAGGGCCACAGGCTGTTGCTGGGGAAAGAAGGGGACAAGCTCAGAGTGAGCAATATCACTATGGAGTTAAGGAATGGGTTATTTGTCTTGCACCACAAGAACTGAATAAAACCATAAATACGAACTTTCTTGCTTCTGCCTTGATCCTTGATGCTGCTGGGGGAGGATAGAATCCCCCAAGGCTGACACGGTCCTTGGCTGAGGAGCAAATAATGCACTGACTTACATGCCCAGGAGGTGAGAGATGTTTCCTTTGATGTAATCCTTGATTCCTGTGGTCTCCTCTTTGTTATTTGGTGAATTGGCAGGTCCTCTAATTTGTTACATTTTAATAAATATAAACTTTCTTACTTGAGACTTCTTTCGAGGTATGGTAGCAATACTCATTGGTACTTAAAATGTATACTTCATAAAACTAGGAGGCAACTTTACTTAGAACAATAAAGATGTGGCATTTCATAGCCACGTCTAGGGCTATGATGCACAGATACAGCATGCATAGATACAGCATATTTGGGTATAGGCTTCTCCCCCTAACTACTTCCTCTACATTTTCTCTTGAGTTTCTTTTTCCAGCTTACTAGATTATGATGTTAGACAGGAACAGTATATGCTCTTGTCACATCCACAGTTTACTGTTTCTTCTAAAAGCAAAGAAGCAATAACAGTCATAACTATAGCTAGGCTATAAATGTTGTGTCCCAAACAACGCATACTAACTCAACTGTGACAATAAATAAGCTCCAAAAGACTCTGGAAAACCTACAGTGGTGAGAAGAAAAGGATGCAATTGACTCTCTTGACTTGCCAACCCACAAATATTGGTTCCAAATTGTCCAATTAGAAGACATGTGGGGGAAAGACTGATTCTGCTCAAGGTTCTTTTTTAATTTGCAGTTTTATTTTGCTCGTATAAATATAGACAATTATGGCTAAAGCAATTCATGATTTCACTGATGAAAACTAGTTATTTCATCTTTTACATTTTTCAGTACAGAAGATAAAATTATATCATTCCTTTGTGTATGTGCATGCCTCTGCATGCATGTACATACACACATACTTAATATTCCTGTTCTGCCTACTACTAGAATGAAATGAAGGCAAAGATAATTGCTTACATGAGAAATGATGGGAAACAGTATGATCCTATGCATATTTATTTCCATTACTCTTCACCTCTTCTGTTGCAGTTGAGGGAAGATCAGCAGCCTTTGCTTTTATTTTTAACTGACCACAGCTTAGTGTTGTGTTTGAACCTGAACAAACTGTGGTTCGTCTTAACTATGTTTTGCTGCAAGACTTCAAAATGTGGTTTATATAGCTTGCTTGTTTCTTTAAACCACAATTAAGAGTAGCCATAATTTGCAGTTTTGATATTTGCAAAGCCAGAGTTTTTGATCTCCTCATGACAATGCCAGAATAGAAGAGTGGGTCTTTGTGTTGCAATTTATAGAAAAAGTGCTATTGAAATGCTAAATTTCAAACAGTTTCCCGTGATAAGTTTTTTGGCCTAACTAGAGAACAGAGCTGCATAAATGTGTTTGGCAAGGATTGCTCCCCCTACGCTTTTTTAAAACACACACACACACACACACACACACACACAATTTTGTAATTTCGAAAATTGCCCGTTCAAACATGTCTGTGACACAACTTTCAAACATTTTCCCCCTCCAGCAAAGCCACTTTCTGCATTTTCTCTTTCTTTTATTTGGGATTCAGCAGAAGAATTATCCAGCCAACAGGAAGTAATGTGTCAGCCAAACCATATTCCAGCATAATTATGCCCACCTGGTAGAGAGACACTCTGCCCATGTGCTAAGGAGGGGAAATGAATAGGCTGTCTTTTTGAATACCACCAACAATAACATGATTTTGCTTGCTGCTGTGTTGCATTAGTACACTGGCAAAAGCAAGGTTTTGTCTTCGGGTGATCTTTGAGAGAGTCTCAAAATGTATGACAGAACCATCAAGAGTAACAACTTAATAAAACCAACACAGAACACTGAATTAATACAGTAAAACACAGATCTTGTTGTTTCTAAGAACTGAATGAAGCGTAACTTTGAAAAATGTGGGGCATGGACTCTATTCCGCATGCTTCTGAGAGAAATGGCAGAAATGCTGATAGCTTAAATTCATCCGGTGACATTGCCAGCCATTCTCAACAGCACACTACTTGTCAGTTCTAGTGTTTGAATCCTTACATTATCTCACCTGAAAGCCATTAAATGGCACACAGACATCTGTGTTGTCTTACAGTTATGGAAGCTCCTGAGGACTGGCAGGGATTCAAAATCATTATGTTCCAAACACACACACGCCAGGGTGGGGGAGAAAGAAGCAAAAGATCAGCATGACAACATTGTCTGGTGGTCATGCCAACCTTAAAACAATCCAGACACATTCTATGGTTGGCAAGTTGCCACGAAATATCATAACTCTTGAAATCAATAGGTTGGAACATGTTAAATTAACCATTCATAATAGAGCTGAACCAAAATTTCGTGGGAGGCATGTTTCCAACAAACTTTCTGAGATTTTTATTTTCCTCACCTCTTAGAAAAAGAAGGAAACTTAGTTGTCAGGGTTTTTCCCCCTGAGCAATCACCACTTTTTAATTCTAATTTTTATAACCCAGTAAAATAGATCTCATAAGGAGGATGTGGGAACAACTAAATGCTATTTAATTAACAGTTATGCTTAAAGAAGGAGAGAAGTTTAGAGAAGTCATTAATGAGTGGAATCTGGTAACAAAATATGCAACAAGAGAGTTGGGAATTTCAGGACAGGGAATAAACTACATGTTTATATAAAACTAAATAATATTTATCATTTTGGATAAATGAGTAGGGTGAGTTTTTATGAAGAAGAAGAATGAGCCAAACACCATCTGTGTTATCCACACATTTTACCGAGTGACTGTTAATATTATACATATTTATAAGAAAGGAGGAGTACACTGTACATTTTAAACGATGTTTTTTTCTATACTGTTATTATACTCATGTTCTGCTTCACATTAGTTGCATAGAACATATATCAAAGTGGTGGCTGCTATTATTATTATTATTATTATTATCATTATATTAAAAAACTTGGGGAGAGAAAAAAGTTGTGTTACTGACACTGCTAGTTGTGAACCCCACTCCTAAAGATACTCTTGGAGAAATTATCCTCTCTGTCTCCCCAATTTCTCTGTTCATGAATAGGGTGGAAAATTTTGTGGCGCTATAGACACACAGCTCTAATTCATAATTTACAGCAGACACCTGCTAGAATGATTGCCAGGAAATAGACCAGGTCTCCAGCTATGCTGTGTTTTCCCTTCTCAGCTTGTGTGATAATGCAAGTGTCCTTCACCCAGTAGATTTCTTCTTCTTTGCTTGACTGAAACTGCCTGCTTGGCTTACAATGATGAGTGACCCTGAAATCTCTTTTGCTCTAACTGGTGTCACAGAACCACACAGAAGCTTAAATCACATCTGCTGGAGCCAGTTTTCAAGCTATTTGGACCAAGGTCTTGTTACTTTCCCCCCTCCCCTTCTTGCTAAGAGAATCTGAGTCTTTGAATGCTATATTCTTGTTTAGTACCAAAGTCAGCACTTGACCTGTGCAATCTTCAGAATCACAGATTTGTGTGTTTTTCATGGCATTGCATATCTTGGTTTCCTGCTCTTCTCATGATATTTCTCTGCATTTTTTCCTTGTCTGCATATAATCTTCTTTCCTTGTTCAGAAAACTAGAGGAGCTTCACCCCGATAAGAAAATACTAGGTTCATTTTTAAAAGTCTAAATACTACTGATAAAGCAGGGCTTAAAGACCCTGTTTTAGACTTTGCAATATTTCAGCAATGGACAGTTCCATTCATCAGAGTACTTTTAAGCACTGTATAATATTAAAAAAATCTAAGATGTTACTGTAGAAATTCCCAATCCATTTCACTTTAAAATGTGTATTGATAGCAATTCTACTCGTTAGGCTGGCTGGTTAAGTGTGGGTGTGTTTGTGTAAAAGGGGGCATAGTAATAAATTACAAATGTAAGTAAGAGCATTATGGAAAATGAGATCAAAAATGTATAATGCGAAAACATAAGCCATAAACTATGCACAGATATAATGGAGGTAGAAATTATAAATGGGCTGAGACAATTTCTAAACTCTTATTGCTATTAGCAGATGGTATCTGCTTTTTATATACCTATTCCAAAAAAGGGAATTGCAAAATGGCTTTAGATTCTGCAACCAGAAACCCCAGATACTAAAATCTTTGCAACAAGAATAAATTATACAAATTTATATTGATTTGAAGGCTTCGTTTAACAAAATGATTAAGTCAATAGGCCTTGGGATGGATCCCATGAGAGGATGCAATGAAGGTGGGCTGAACAGATAAAAGTAAAGACTAAAATTTTGCAAAACATAGCAGTTTCATAGAATACATCATTAAATCACCATTTTGTTTGTAGTCCTTGCAGCTGGTATTTGAATTCTGGTATTAAATCCAGTTTCTGTGAAAGAGGACAGAGAGAATATTCAGGTTCACGTTTCTGAGGAACCATTAATGATTACTAAAATAAGGAATGGAAGGGCAGACTGACAAGTTTCAAGGAACTGGCTTGGTTCTCTGCCTTCTCTGTTAAAGCTAGTAATAAAGGCAGGAGATGTCACAAGGGTCAGGAGGTAAGGTCTCCCCTGATATCCAGCATTTCTTCCCAGAGACCTGACTAACTGTCAGTCAAGTGACAAAGGCTATCACCTTAGATACAGTAATACTGCTACCTGACTTCTACAATTTTTGTCCATTTGACTTTCAGCTATGTGGTAAACATTAAAATGGATAGCTATCCACTTGCATCTTCTCTGATATATGGATGAAAGCCTAGTACATAATAATTTTCAGCACCTGAATGAGATCTGAAATGAAGTATGGGCACTTTTAACATTATCTCACCACCATTCTGTCATGGCACTAACATTACAAGCTCTACAGAGTCTTGCCCCTCTTCACCCTTAAGTCTTGCTTCTGCAGCTTGTCTATTATTTATCATACTGTAATACAGGACTGGAGTGATTCCAGCTAGAAAAGGAATTAAAACACACAAACATAGACTTCACCAGACAGATTTAAAATGCTGGATTTATGGAGATCCACAGATGAATGGATGATTCAAGAGTGGTCCACACTCCAACTCATCTCTCCAATGATACCTACAATATTATTTGTTTTACAGATAGCCAGAAGTTATCAAAGCAGTGGACAATAAAATAAACTTAGGCACAATACTTTTGTGTACAGTCATGTGATTTAGCAGTGAGATTGTCACCGCTCATGCACACTGGTCCCTTCAATGCTCCATCAAGTGTTCAGCATACGCTGTGAAAAGGTATGCTTATAGGAATTCTAGTTGCCTTACTCCATGCACCACAGAAGGAAAAGCTCGTATGAACAGAAATGTATTCACAGTATACACCTAAATCATAGACTAGAAAGCTTTACCAGAATTCTTCCATTGCTTTAAGCATTTTTTCCCTTTAGTAAAAGAAAGAGTGTAAAATCCAAACTGCTCAGGACCACAAGGAGCACTCTCCCTGTATGAACCAACTTGGACCCTGTGATCGCAATCTGAGACCCTTCTTTGTGTGTCTCCCCCATGAGAGGTCTAGAGGGTGGCATTATGAGAAGGGACTTTTTCCGCAAGGGCTCCCTGCTTGTGGAATGTTCTCCCCAAGGGGGTTAACCTGGCACCTTTGTTGCATGTCTTTAGGCCTCAGGCAAAAACATTCCTTTTCTCCCAAGCAATTAGCTAATTAAACAATCTGTGTCCTTTTAAACTGGGAGGTATGGATTTTGTTTGTCACCATCTTATTAATTTTTGTCTTTTTAAATTGTAAACGACCCTATTATGAAGAAGAAAAATGAGAAGGAGAAGAAGTCACTGCTTTCCCTTAAACTATTAGAATTTCTCTGAGACCCCCAAATATATATTAAAAAAATCCTTGGAAGTCATTTTTAGCCTATCTCTTGAAGCTTTGAAAATTGTTCAGCTGAGCACTTCACAGCAGCACTTTGTTAGCTACATTAATCTATAGATTGCTGGACTTATGACACATGCTTTACCTTTATGTTCATCTTTGAATTTTCTAATGCCTGCTTAATTTACAAGTGTTTTCATTATTGTGACCTTTACTCTTCCTCTTTATAATTCTGCCAGTGTATCTGCCATAGATGTATATTAATGCAGGTATTGGTAACCTACAGGCACACATTTCTTGAGTAGATTTTTTTTATAAAAATGCATAGTGCATGGGTCTACTTAGCTCCGATTAATGGTGACATCATTTATGTTCACATTCTGAAGCATATATTCTGAAGCAGTTAAAGGTCAATAGGCAAGTTCATGCAAATGCCTGGAATAAAATTATATTTGATAATGCAAAACTGAACATGGCTTGGGTGCTTTCATGCTTAATGACTGTAGACTGTAAATAATATTGGGGGAGAAATGCACTGAAAATAAAATAAAATGTCAACCACATTAAAATCTATCAGAACATGTATTTTTTATATATATGAGGAATTAGAGAATGAGTAAAACATGAAGGTAAAATGTATTTTTGTGACTATTTAATGTCTTGCTCTGTACAACTCTGTGCATTGGATGACTTTGCCTGGCAGCATG